TAGATGCCTAAGGAAATGTTTGTTCTAAAAGTTAGAATGTGGCTAAGAATAAAAGGAGAAACCAAAAATAGAAGGAGATGGAGGAAGCTGAGGAGCAGACTGATGCGTGAGGTAAACAAATTCTGATAGTGAAAGTTCCTTAACTTAAGAAAGTTTTTGAAAGCCAGTTAACCAAGCAAAACAATTTTTACAACCCTTGATCACAAAGGATTTTGTTTTGTTTTTGAATTTGTTCTGAATTTTGTTTTTAAAGTAGGAACTCTGTGTTTTATGGTGGGGAGGTTGCCCCTGGTGTTCGCACTCTATACCTAGAGGATGTTTCTGAATAACCCATTTGACTACATTTACCAGTTTGTGTTAGCATAATGAACTTACACTCTTTTAAAGGCCAGGTGTACCTAATTTTGCACAGTATATATTCTGGAAAGGGAATTGGAAATCAAGCTTTTGAGTATTGGATAGTATAGTAGGGGCTAGATTAATCTTTGTTCAAATGTCTGTTTTGCTAGTTTTCAAAGCGTGGTCCCCAGATAGACAGCATCATCACCTAAGAACTTTTTAGAAATACAAATTCTCAAACCTGGCCCCAGAACCACTGAAAAAAACTTTGGAGAAGACCTAGCAGTCTTTTTTAATGAGCCCTGCAGGTGGTTATGGTACCCGCTACAGTTTGGGAACTGCTGTTCTAGGTACTTTCTTTTTTAATTAAGGTGCACTTAGGTTCTAAAATTATACTTAATGCCTTTAATTCAGTCTGAACATACCCTCAATCTGTAAAATGTTATTCTAAGAATTTCAGGTTTAGATTTCTTAAGAGGTTTCTGAAAAGGGATGTGAGCTGGGCACGGTGGCTCACAGCTGTAATCCCAGCACTCTGGAAGGCCAAGGCAGGAGGATCACTTGAGGCCAGGAGTTTAAGACCATTCTGGGTAACATAGTGAGACCCTGTCTCTACAAGAAATTTGAAAATTAGCCTGGTGTGATGGTGTAAGCCTGTAGTCCTAGCTAGTTTGGGGAGGCTGGGGTAGAGGGATGGTTTGAGCCCAGGAATTCAAGGCTGCTGTGAGCTATGAGCATACCACTGAACTCCAGCCTGGGCGCCAACAGTGTGTCTCTTAAAAAGAAAAAAAAGTATTTGAGAAGAGGGATGTGGAATCTATCAGAGGTGGCAACAAAGATGTTTTATAATTTGTGTTGCTTGAAACACAAGCCAAACTCCCTGATTTTATACAGGAAGTTCTCTAATCATGTAACTTTGGCAGTGAATACTGTGTTCCTACTTTTGAGATTCAGAACGTATGAGAGGCTCAGACTTCTACTGTCATTAAAGTCACCTAATTTAGTTAGCAGCCACCACTTTTTAATATAAATTCTTTTTCAGTGCTGGATGGTTATACTTAGAAAATGCTGGGTTAGCACATTTTAGGTAAAGATAGGCTTGTGTCTTCAAGTTACCAGGGAACTAGGTGCTTGTTAGAAAGGGGTTGCTTTCTTATTCCTTGAATAGTTCTTATTTACAGGTTCTAGAAAATACCAGTGTTGAACTTTGTATTTGTGTATCAACTACTTTAGATTATAATGGCAAAACTGGCAGGTGGACCTAAAACTCCTAAGCCACAAGGAAACTGGGATGATAAAGATGGTTGGCAAGATGAACCTCATATATAAATAGCAAATCAGGTGCCAAACTGACCAATGCATACCCGTGATGCATGCAAATATATTCACTTTCAGCTTATTGAGTTATTCAAGTGCATGTCTTGGAATGTCCTTCACTAATCTGTGTGGATTTTATTGCTATTACTATCCACAAAAGCAAGAAACTTTCTCAGACTGCTGGAAGTTTACAATTTAATTCCTAACAAGGAAGCTAGCAAAGTTTGTGCTGTGGTGTTTCACGTGTGGTATAAAATAGATTGTTTAATCTTCAGTAAGGCTAATAGAAAAACATTCTTTTTCTTCATTCTAAAGGTTCAGTTTGTAAGCAAACTTTTGTGTGGTTTTGTTCTGTTATGCAGATCATCATGGCCAAACCAGCCGGTGGGCCCAAGCCTCCAAGTGGGAAGAAAGACTGGGATGATGACCAAAAAGATTGAATGGTTTAATTTTTACTGTAGGTGAAGGCTATATTTGTAGTAGTACTCTAGGAATTGCCTGATGTTTTCTTATTCTCCTTAAATTAAGAAGTGTTTTGTGTTTTTATCCTCAGCTGGATGTTATAATAAACATGTTACTGTCAAAGCTGTATTGTCTTATGTATGACCATTGTTACTGGATGTAAATGACCTGTTTGTCTATTAATCACATTAGCTGTGGGATTTAAGGCAAGTCACTTACGTAGAGGCCTGCTTCCCATTTACATCTGGTCCTGCGGTTTGTGTAAGTCACTGCAACACAGCCATGCTCAAAGTTACATATTTTCTGCAGGTGCTTTCTAACAAGGGGATGGCACAGGTGAGTAGTTCTGACAGAGATCTAATGAGCCCACAAAGACTAAAATATCTGCTAACTGGCCTTTACAGGAAAGGTCTGCTGACACCTGGGCTAGATTTCCAGAGTGTTTTTTCACAGGTCTGGAAATCCTGACTCAGGTGACTTGTTTCAATAGCAATTAGTGATTTGGTGAATGGAAAACATACTCCAGCGAGTACAAAAGAGATGCTTCCGATACAATTGAAATGTACAAATTAAGTCAGTTGTCATAAAGCAGATTCTATTTCCCTAAGGTCAATATGGAGTGTTGAAAAACATTTGTAAAAGAATTATGCTGATTTTATAGGACGTGCTGCTATATATGTTATATTAATATAAAGTTCTTGAATAATTCTGTTTGAAATTGTGTATTTTTGGTATTCTTTCAGAGGAATTTTGGAAGCAATATGGCTGGGTCTTCAATAAACTAAACAGGTATTAGGAATGATACATCTCTTATTACCGCCATGGAAAATTAGAAGGGTTCACTGTGGAAGAGAACCTTATAAGAAGTTCAGACAGGCTTTGTGTCCGTAAGCTTCATTCAAACACTGGGACATTAAGGGGGACTTGATACCTAGTCCCAAGAATGAGATGGGCTTGTGTCTTCCTTGGGTCAGCTGACCACTGGCACAGAGCAAGTGCAGAGTGAGGTCTGTACCCCAGCTTATGCAGAGTATGGACTACAGTGTTTTGCCCAATTATTAATACATACTACTGCCAACATCTGTGCTTATAAAATTAACACTTGTAATGAAGCTTTCATTAGCCAGTCTGAAACATTTTTAAAACGATACCTAGTAGGGCAAATTAACAGAACTTAAAATCTTCTAAGTAATAAAACAAGTTTTTGGGGTAAGCCAGTTTATTGATGTGTTGCGACCAACCACCCAGACATCTAAGCACAAAAGACTTAAGTAATTCAATTTTCCTTTCCAGAAACTGGAAGCAGGAATAACACCCATGGTGACAGTACAAAACCATTGTAAATTTTTAGGTATTTTTTCCCTTGGATATTTAAATAAACATGATTTCTTCTGGCATGAATTTAATAGTAAGTGAACATGATTTATAGTTAGTCTTTACTTTTTTATTGTTGTTATTACAGCCATTATAAAAGCCATAAATGTGTTTCCAGAGAAAGCACTTTTTGATACTGTTACAGTATTCTCTCATAAAATAGGAGGTACGCTTGTGAGTTTAGTACTTTAGTTGCAGGCACAGCTTGCACATGTGTATCGCTGATGTGAAACCACTGCCCTTTGGTTGATTCCATTTCAAAATCTGTCAAGAGGAAATGTAAAGTTATAAATGGAAAGATTCAAGTTCATTATACTTTGGTCTTGCCATAATCTGATGCCTGAATTCTCCAAAACATCTTACCTTGTGGAATATCACCATGAAGAACAAGATTAGAGAGATGATTATTTGCAGTTCTTGCCTTGGCATAGGCAGTGTAATGTCCTGACCTCATGGTACCACTGTGTTCAACGACTCCATATAAAGAATACAGTACCCTTGTATTTTCTTCCACAACATTCTTTAAAAATGAATAGAATTCAAAAGTTAGTACTGGTCTATTTATAGATCTCATTGGCAAGAAAAGTTTATACTATTTACACAAAAGGTCTTTAACCTTTACTTTGAGAATGCAGAAATCATTCATGAGTCTGAACTTGACTCCTCTCTACCTCTTCTCAACCTACTGAGACGCTTCTGTTTTTATGAGACTATTGCTATTGCTGTTTCCTCACTGGAAAAACCATAAACCACAGGTCACTTGATGTAATCACAGTTATCTGGCCCAGAAACTAAATAACTGAACTCAACTTGCCAACTTCTTTAGAAACCTTAGGGTAAGTCCAAAATTCCAAAATAGTGTAACAACCCTAGCTATTATCCTGGTCCCTGCCCAAAATGTAAGCACTCAACAGGAAGATGATAGCATTTAGGTTGTGCCAAAATCAAATACTAGGGAATCAATGAGACACTCAACCTCTCTGAAAGTGCCCACCCAGAGTGGAGGCTGCTCATTTTTTTAACATCCCATATGCCATAGGGCTGACAACAGGTACAGGCATTTTCTGAGCAAGAGGCCACTCTAAGACAACTGTTTATGTTCTCTTGTAAAAAGTCCTCCTGAGTGGGCGTCACTGCCTTTCAATAGTACTATCCCTACCCTCATCTCTGCAATCTATGCTTCTGTATTCACTGAAGAGCTGTACTTCTCCACCCCGTCCTGTCAGCTTCCTCAAGAGATTCCAACTGTCCATCTGTGATCCTCACAGGATTTTCGCTGCCATTCCATTTTAGCCAACCACAACCAAGACAGGACTCTGAGCATAGCATCACTCAAAACTGTTTGCTTTCAGAAATCTTACTATTTTCTAGTCTTGGTCCACAGGTCTTCCATTCTTCCAACTCTGCAGTCTCACCTATTCCGTACTCCTTAACCTAACAGGATTCTCCAATCCTCATTTTCTCCTAGCCTATCAAGCCTCCTCTGGCATCATTCCCATATGCAGTCTAGACCTTGGCTATTCAAAATGTGGTCCATGGACAGCCAGCATTGGCATCACCTGAGAATTTATTAAAAATGCAGAATTTTAGACCCCCACTCTAGACCCACAGAATCAGAGTTTGTAGATCTGATTCCCAGGTGATTCAAATGCACATTAACCACATGTATCACTTACCAATAATCTCTGAATATCCAGCACCAACTTTGCCACCACATCCGATTCATCACAAAACCCCGCCCTGAATCCTACAAGTGTACCTTTCTCAGCCCCCAAACCAGACAGCTGCTATTGTTAGAAAACAAAATTATATGATCCAACTTGCCAGGGTCCTCAATGTGACTACATTCTTGTAAGTTATCCTCAGTTTTAGCTGCCTCTTCCAAGATGCCCTTCACAGAAACTGGCCCAAACTTTTATCACTCTTATTGCCTCTCTCCATATGCCCTAACTCTTCTCTACCAGTGTGGCCTCACCTCCCACTTCAGGAAAACTGAGACACAACCTACCCAATGACAAGTTACCCATTTTCAGGAAGATGACGTATCCAGTATCCCTCCCTTTGGTTCAAAGACCATACTCCAATTTCATGTGCTCAGCCCAGCCCTCCCAGCCTCCCAGGATTTTGCTCAATCAACTCTCTTTTCTGTATTTTCAACTTCTAGATTTTCCTCTCAGCCTACAAACCTACTTAAGTCTCCCACACTTTAAAAAAAACAAAAAACAAACTTCACTGTCTACCACTTTTCCTTTTCAACAAAGCCTCTAACTTATCTACATATTTTATTTCCACAACCCACTTAAATTCTCAACACTGTTCTTGAAAAATTTTACCATGACTTCTTCACTGTCTAATCCATAAATAGTTTCCAGTCCTTTTCTCTGATATTCTGATTCTGAGGCCACTTAGTCTCCTTTCCTTGAAACTTGAACACAGGGCAATGGCACTTTAGGCAAAAGATGGATTCCAGGTGACCTTGTACTCAAAACTAATCTAACCAAAGATATTTCTATTTACCAGCCAAAGTGGCTGGCCTTATGGTGTTAATATAAAAATAATTACAACTGACAGCCCACAAGCTCTGAATTCGTATCATTCTTGGAGAATTTTAAATTGGGAGGGAAGAAGGAAGAATCCCATCATTTCAAATTTTACATAAAAAGACTTTATTAATATGCTTATATTGAAATATTTGAAATTAGAATATAGTACATAGCACAGCTTCTTTTACTCTCCAAATTCTGCTTCAACATGGAGATTCTTTGAGATCCTTTGTGATGTCCTCACCTTCTACCCCTGCCTCTTCCACCCAGATACTTGCCAGGATCCTGTCCTTGGCCACCTCTTCTCATTCCCTCTCTAGGATCTGTACACAAGAGATCCCATATATTCTCATAGTTTTAACTACCATATACATACTAATTGCCAAATCTTTATCTCTAATCCTAACCTCTCTGCCCTGGGCCTCAGACATGTATATCTAAATGCTTTCTAGACTAAGAACATGAGTATCTCAAAAATATTTGACACTCAGTATATCCAAAACTGAACTCACTATCCTTTCTCTACCCCACAATCTACTCTTCTCCCTGTATTTCCTACCTCAGTTATGGTACTCCAATCTGCCTAGTTTCTTCACTCAAGCCAGGCCCCAGGAATCATCCTCAACTCCTTTCTGTGCTACCCCCAGTATCCACTTAAAGGCCTCTGCCTCACCTTCTAGTGCCAATCAATCATAAATCCAGTTAATTTTACCTCCTGGAATCTCCCTTCAATCTCCCATTCTCCTGCCCCACTTTAAGTCTTCATCATCTACTAGCTGAATTAATGCAATAGCCTCCTAACTGGTTTCCCTGCCTCTAGTCTTTTCCTCCTAAAATCCAGTCTCCATACCTAAGTAACCTATGTCATAAATAGATCTAATCATGTCACCCCATTGCTTTAAACTCTTCAGTGGCTCCCCACCTAATAAAGTCCCCATTCCTCACCATGAGAGCCCTCCAAAACCTCATTCTTACCTCACTTCTCTGGCTTCATTTCCCAACTCCCCCTACACCTTGTACCATAAGCTTTAGAACTGTTTAACAGTCCCTAGCACACATGCTATTTTTCACTGCTATACCTTTGCTCCTGCTATTCTTTCTCCCTACAAAACTCATTTCATCTTGATTCATCATACTAACTTTTACTCCTTAAGTATTAATTCTGAGGTATGGTGTACTTTACAGAGCCTTTCCTCAACCACCAAT